AAACTAACATATCATAATGAAAACCATGCTTTTGTTGCATGAATGCAATTGTTAATGTGTGTGCACTCGATCAACCTAGGGTGGCAGTGTAAAGACCTTGGTGGTGCACTGAACGCAGCCCATACTGGCTTAAATGAAATGAATCAGTAAGTACTTACTATTAATTAATAAACGTTTTATATGGATTACAGCTGATGAAGCATTTGATGCCATAATCAAATTTCCATTTTGTTTGTTGCTGTTTTGTCTCTGGCAAAGTGTATTGATACATATGGCATACACCATACTTTAAAAAGACATTCGAATCACTTTATTAATGGATACAGTCGGAGTGTATTAACTTGGCAGCATGTACTGGCACCACTATGAGAGACGTATGAAAGAATCTTCCAGTTACTTCCCTAACTGTGTCGACGGGTCAAGCTTTTATACATTTATTTAATAATTGATGCAGTAGGGACAAAAGTTTTGTAACATGGTAGTTTATATTTTCTGTTTGTGTTTCCAGTTTGTTGACAACTGTTCATCATCAAAGAGGAAGTTGATCAGGCCGGAGTAACACTTGACAAGTAAGAGAATCATTTACTCTTGGTGCCATCGTGTTCATTTCTTGTGTCAGATTTCTGCTGTTGCCGTGGTTTGTGTGGTACCAAACATTGTGCTTTGTCTGAATGATGTGTCTGTTGTGGTTTTGTCTGTTTTGGTTTATGTTCAGGTCACATGCCTTTTCTTTTGTCGGGGCAAACTCCAGACCTTTCCTGTTTACTCCTTCCTCTGAATCTGCACGTCATTCTTGTGATTTACACCGATTCGAGGTATATTTCCCCAATGACACTCCTTGTCATGCAGTCATCCCGCGAGTGAGAACTAAATACGACCTTTCCAATTGGAATGAGAGCATTATTATTGTTATACAGTCGACCGTTGATGATGTTCTTGGACTTTCAGGGTGAAGATGAATTTACGATTTGGCTCCTCTGGTTCGTTCCTCATTATCTCTGCTATCTTCTGTTAAGGGATTTATTGAAAACTGAAAAACTTCCATATGTTTTTTATTTTCTGTTGTTTTTTTTGTTTTTTTTTAAAAAATCCCTCCAGGTTTCGTCATAGGTCAAAACGGTTGGTACCCTGAGAGACTGGGACCATGTCACAGCTGGTCAGACAGTGTCTAAAAAATATGGGCCTCAAGGGAGAAGGCCCTGCACACACTTAAAACAAGTACACCAAACATTATACAATGCCTCCATTTATTCTCAAAGCCAGGGCCACACTGCTGTGTCTGCAGCATGTGTGCATCCATCTAGCTTTTTATTTCTGCACCCAAATGTTAGACTGGTTAGAGTAACCACCCTGCCCGCATAGCCGTATAATCTCACATGTGGTTGAAGCAAGGGCTTCATCTATTTCCTTTGTCTGCCAGCAACGAAGCGGTTCCCAGCAAGAATAACAGTGACAAAGATCTGTTCATAGTCACATCGACATTATAACAGCAGCATAATACCAGTTTTCAATTCTGTGATCTGTAAGAATATGTCACAGACTGAACATTGTACCTGTTTCAGATTAAAGAGCTCTCTCATGTTTCTGTGGACAGAATCCAGTGATCTGTTAACAATGCTGTTAATTGCATTGTATTTATTCATGTAGAAAGATAGGGCTGGCAGCAGCAGAGTCGCAGCATAGGATGCTGTGTGGACACCCACAGGTGTGCGAGCCGCAGCAGTTCAGCGAGGCAGCTGTCACACACTGCTCACCGCGTGCCTATTGTGGCAAGGCGGGGTTACTTATTCTTATATCGTCTGTGCTGAGCATAGGCTCAAATTAGAAGATCTTTGGTCCAACATAAGGGAAGCACCATCTTTGTAATTTTTAGACAGGAAATCTGATCAGAGGCCCCCTGATCAGGGCTGCATAGCTGCATGTTGTCTGAGCAGTGTGAGCGATCACAAGAGCCAATCTTAAAACCACCCCAGATGCATTTTCAAACCTGATCTGAGGCAGCCACAAATATATGTCAAACATGTTTGACCAATTTACAGCCCAGCATGCTGTGTACTGTTCCAGAAAGGTGAGCTTGTACGTATCAGGCGAATCAATGTACTTACTCCAAAAGCGACGGTGTCCTGGCGGAGCCAATGACCGTGTTTACAGTGAGGTAAAACGCAGCATGCTCGTCAGTATCCTGTTGCTTATCGGATTTGGTGTCATGTTGCTGCGAGATTAAAGGTCTGATGTCAGAGGAATCAGCGGTTGTATTACGTGTACAACCATCTTTACCAAAATCATGTAGGATAAACAGCAGTGTTTTGCAGCGGATAAATTATGTAAAAAAAATCATGCTATACATGTGATCAAATCTGATCAAAGCTGTGTGTGGTGCCTGGTGTGTGGTGGTGTGTGGTGTGTGTGTGTGTGTGTGTGTGTGTGGTGTGTGTGTGGTGTGTGTGTGTAGGTCCAGTACCTGACGAATATTCCCAGATGACTTTACATTCAACCTACTCCCTTGATTCCTTACATTAACGGACGGAGACTTTAAAAGTACAGTTGTTTTTTTTTTTTCAAACATTTGGGGGGAAAAAAAGGTTCAAGACAGACTGAAATAAAGTCAACCAAACACATTCTTGTTGACCAAGAGTGGGAACAGACCTGTCTGTCAAATCACTTAATTATCTTATTCAACATTTTATTTTTTGTTTTCCTTTGTTTTGAAATAAGACAGGTGATAGAGGTAGCCTGATTATTTTTCTATATAACATTAGAAGTAAACAATTCAGTAAGCACGCTAAAGGCACATAGAGTTGGCCATTACAGTAGTTTAGTAGGTAGTTTATTCATTGAGCGTCAGTCCGCACACATACGTGGGTGCTGCTGTTATTACTCACCAGGCAGGAAGAAAGCTGTGTGGTTACAGCTGCAGCTAATTATTGCACCCTCCTTAAAAATGAGATTATATATTCTATAACCTATTTTTAAAGAAAAGTGTTCTATCCCCCCGGCTTTCGTGCTGAGACACGAAAAGTCTTATAATCGATACTGATAAAAGCAAAATGTGACAAAATGCTATGGTAACAAACAGGTGAATAAATCATGGCGTACATAAAGCATGTCTTATTTGTCACTCGGTCCTCTGAGACTCGAACAAAACAGTGTGGACAAATAAAAAGACTGCAACTTTCCCCAAATTAATTCATAAAACAAATACGATACTTCCATTATGTTTTTGTTTGATCGAGGTTATGTTTAATGGCACCCGACTCGAGAATTTGCACCACCAGCTGTTTATCTTGATGAACCAGCTCCCAATATTTGAATAACAGAAGTGGAATTGAATTTATTTGCATTTCCTTTATTTTCATTTTTCTTTTTAGAATTAAAAAAAAGTAATGATAACAAACATTATAGAGACAAATACAAGGGTTTCATGTAAAAATGAATGTTTTTGTTGTAATTGTACAGGTGCATGCTCTGTGGTTGAAGAGGTGATGCTTCAGGAGGCCTTTGACCTTCCCTCCACACAGATCCTGTCTCTGTATGCTCTGGCCAGTTACCTAGCGACCAGACCCCAACTCACAGTGAGTGAAAAAGTGGCAACGGCAACAATGGGAGGGGTTATGAAAACAAATGAGCCTAGACTATTCTTACACTTGGAAATACAGTACAGTAACTCAGACACTACCCTGAATTTCCTGATACTTGGAGTGCAAAAAATTCTATACATTTTTTTGTATTGATTAGTATGTGAATGTTGCAGTAGAACTAACAAATATGCTTCCATATAAAATACTTACACTTGTTCCTCATTGTGTTCAGGTGTCAGAGGAGCGGGCATTGGGAGCATCACTCCTCATCTGTGGGATGATGCAAGACAACACTGTTGGCCTCAGCGCTCAGCTACTTGGCAATGCTCTCCTAGGTTTGCATTTGACTTTCTTCCTCCGCAGTGTTGGATTTGTTTTTACTGTGATTGATTCATCCAGTGTTATTTCATTTGGCTGCTTGCCTCATTTATTCTCCTGCTCCTTTTTCCCCCAACCAGGTAAGGTGGAGATGCTAAAGGGCATACATGCCGTCTTCAAAAGGATGCCTCTCTTCTGGGGTCATGGGTATCTGGGCCGAGCGCTGGCTGTCATGGAGAGAGCTGCCTCTGGTGATGTGAAGCTGTCCAAAGACACAGTAAGAACAGAGACATTCAAAGGGAGTGTGTGCGCATCTTACACCAAAAAGAAAGACAACTTTCTCTCATTTACATGTTATATTTTGTTTATCACATGTAGAGGTGTACAGACAACTGTTAAAAAGTCCAGTCTTCATGTGTATTATGAACACAACCCAGGTGATTACCGGATACACTATTAGGTACCCCTGTAAAATCTAATGCAATCCAATATAACTGCCATAAATTCTGTCTCTACAAAGATAATGAAATTCAGTTTCGATTTACACATTCAAAGAGGTGTTAATTCAACTATATTTTTATTATTGAGGTGGTGTTTTGCAGTGGTACTATGCTTGTTATTATATCATGGTATATAACAATAGACAACACAATAAAGGGCGGAAATGCCTCGATTGGCGACGATATTGACCTTATTAAGCAGACCAGGTGTCCCCATTACATATGTTAGCTTCCTCATTAGTGTCATCATTAACTTAATTGTTTCTGCCTACAGTTACGATCATTTGGTCACAGAGAGCTGGCGAGTCAATATTTAGCACCACAGCAATCCTTGGCTTCATGTTATCTAACAGAAACAGAAGTTGTTCTTCTTCATTGATTGCTCATTTCTGGTTAGCAGGTTCCTGCACTTGGCCACTTTATTATTGACAAATCAATTTACAATGTGGGCACGCACAGTACTTCTTGCAGCATATCGTACAGACAGAAAAAAATAATACAGCAAAAAACAGTGCACAGTACTACACAGCATTGATCATACAAGCACAAGATATAGAACTCTAACAAACACACTGTGCCAGACAGCGTTACTCCCTGCAACCACTTTTATTATCGATCTAATCCAGTGACTGTGAGTTTGACATCACACAAACATATTTTTCCCATAGACTGCTGCTGTAAGATTAATCTGGATAAAATTTTCTTTCAAACTGCATTCTGTGTTAAAAATGAAAGTCTGTTGAGCAAGGCTCCGAGTTACACAACAGAATTATTAAAAACACATTACACACACCCGGAGTAGAGGCTGTTGTTACTTTCCAGGTGGAGTGTGTGACACAGACAGTCTTCATCTCCTGAGATTGAACACACACGCTGTCATATTGTTGTTATTTTTACATATATGCACGAACACACAGTCGGGTGTAGTGCCTCAAATCCGGCCTGTGCTGTCCAGTTCAATAGTTCACCTTTGTCCACGTCTAATGAGATTTTGAAGAGCCTGGAGCACCGAGGATGTCTCTGAGAATCACTGCAACAGGAACTAAATGGCTTGTGTCAGACAGCAGCGCAGCAATAATGTAGACAGAGCAGATAACACCGTAGCACAGAGAGGAAATATTACGTGTGAAACGAAAGTGCTGGTGACTGCTGCCTCAGGTCACAGTTAATCTTACCTCTTCCTAAGATTAAGAGGTGAGTTGTCAAGTGAGGTGTTCAGCCTCTTTCATCACGTCGTGCCCGTTCTGTAATCTTTAAAAGAGAAACTGCATTAAAAAGTTATTAAATATACATAACAAATGAAGACATTTCATGTAGTAACAGCTGTTTCATAACTGCACTTTATATTGATTTTGCAAACATACTAAGAATAATAATCTTTCTGCATACTTAACATTCATTCTCATTATTCTTCAGCTGGACTACGTGAGTGACTTGCTGCAAGAACTGTCTTCCACCTCAGACACTGACTCATCCGGAGAGGAGTCAGCAGGTGAAGAGGACAAGAAAGGAGACGCCATAGATGAAGATGATCAGGCCGAGCAGGCTAAGCTGCCTCAATATGCCAGCAGGTTCAAGGTGGGTGTTTGTTGCGTACGGCAGGTGTGCTTTTGTTTAGCATCTCGATTTAAATAAAAGTTTTCTTGGTCAGGGCGAGCCTTTATCAGAACCAAAGCTTAATGTTTTTCATAGACTGTGACTCCACATAATCCATCTCTTATGTCGTGTATAACAAATGTTTTCAGTCAAACTCGAGCTTGAAGCTTTCAAAATGTATTGAATAGTTCACTGGTTTTGAGGGTTTCACCCACGTCATTTAAATGAAGCGATGAGGTCACTTTTTGTTTCCGTGCTTCTTCAGGAACTGAGAAGCCAGCTGGAGTCTCAGGGCAGAGTGGACTCTGCCTCCTTGCAGGCTTTAGTGACCTCTCTGGCCCAGCAGAACCTGGCAGCTGCGGAGAAATCTGACTTGGAGCAGTACGAGAGCCGGGTACAGGCCTGGGAGGCCGAGAGGAGGCAGCTGATCAAGAGAGAGAAAGAGATGAGGGAGAAGGCCGAGCAGGAGAAACAGGAGCGCTTAGCTGCCAAGGCTGCAGCCCAGCAGGCATAGAGACTCTCACGATGCAGCTGAATCAAGATCACTGAACTTTCCAATGAGTACGTACATTACAATTGTTTATACGTAGATTATAACAGGAGTTTTGTCCCTAAAATTGGGAAATGGCAACATTGTCAACATTACATCTTCTTTTGTCATTAATTATTTTCATATTTGTCAATTATTGTGTGCTTATGTGATTGTTCTGTTTTTATAGAATAAAATGGGGCGAATATACATATATTGTCAAAACAAAATAGATTTTTATTCTGATTTGTGTCAAATATTCTGTCACATTTATTGTCTGTCTGTCTGTTGTGGGCTGTGGGATGATATCATTACTGGAACATAAGCACGCATCAATTGTTAAGCCTGATGGTCGGGTGACCTCATGTAAGCAAAAAGAAGGGAAAGCTGGGGAAAGATCACATCCTCCCACTCCTTTTCCTCTTAGCCTGCAGCTGTGTGTGTGTGTGTGTGTGTGTGTGTGTGTGTCTGTGTGTGTGTTTTCTGTGTTTGTGTCTTTCAAAAGCATTTTTGGAGGTTTTCTCACAGGGGATTGAAAGGGGTATTGCACAGAGGAATTTGCTGATAGCCAATCTAGAGTGAACCAAATTCTTTGCATGAAATGAATGTATGACCAGAAACCTTTCCATGAACAAAGGAAAACATAACTGGATAAATTATCATGCAGTGTAGATCGTGATAACTGTAAGAATAGACACAAAGTGCGAAAAGTGAATATATCAACGTGAGAGCAGCATCAGCTAATACTCGAACAACACATGTTAAGTGAAGCCTGGCTTGTTTTCACTGCGCAGAAAGATAAGATAATAGATCTTTAGGGACGAAAATTCTGTTGTGGTAGTGCACATAATGCATTCATTCCACATTATGTTGCAGCTATTCAGTATTCAGAGCATGATCTTGGGAAAACAGCCTGGTATGCAGTCCAGGATGAATGAGCAGCACAAAATGCTTAAAACAAGCACCATTGTGATGCCGAGGCTCCTTAACGACTGCTGTTGTGAAAACAGCTCTTCACTCACAGTCAGTGTTTTCTTATTTAAGCATTATTAACGTAATTTAGCTGCGGGAAAAATATCATAACTGATATTTAGTCCTTCCTGGGTTAGGTGGTGTCAATTATATCCACCTCCTGAAATCCACTTAGAGCAGTTTGTAATTACAAACTTAAACTAGTTTGAACTGTTTACTACTTTAATCTGACCTGACACTGGATTAAAATGCTGTTCCATAACAATGTAAACTGGCCATATTTTTAAATTGCATTTCACAAAACTAAATTACTTAATGACCAAAAAACATCTTTTTTTTCCGGTTTCATTGACAAGAAAAAATACAGAATATTAACAACCTTATCTCGTAATTGCATATCAGTTAGTGGAGTCTTCTTTATTATTTTATTCTTTCATTGATAGTGGTTTATGACATCAAAGGATAGTATTGATTCCTGGACTGTTTATTCTGCCATTTGCTAATTTACACCATTCTAGCTGCATTAGTAACAGTAAGTGTTAGGTTGAAGCTCAGGAGAAGGCTACATATGCATTGCTAAAGTGTAATTACCATAAAGAAAAGTGGCACTATCTTCTCAATCTCAATCAGACCATTATTATATGTGACGCTTATCTCCCTCTGATAAAGCCATGGCCGTGTAAAAGCAGTGGACAGTGAATTAGCTCTAATCAGCAATAAAAATGGGTCATTCAACATTCTCCGTCAGCTTCTGATCATCAAACTCAGTTTAAATTCACTGGTTTAGAAGTAACACAAGTGCTTAGATCTTTTGCTGTTGTCAGAGGAGGTTTTTTAAACGACATTTCAGGCGTTTGTCAGACAGGTGTGCTAACACTGGAAAGTCAGGAAATTTGACATCCATATCTCCGGTTATGTGATGCCCAGAGCCTTTTAAGTGTTTAAAAAGACCTGTGAGTGTTTTCGGAGAGGGGGGGAGGAACGGTCTGTAGGGGAACTGTGTCATGGACTATTTGAGATATGTAAATATTACAGAATCTGCAAGAGCAAAGTGGATGCATTAGACGTTCAGCCTGGATACAGAACAGCTGCTACTGTACAAACCATCTATCTCTACCAGGAAACCTTATTTGAAGAATAGAGACATTTCAGCCGATAACAGAATTTACAATAAAGCCAGCACATCCTCATCTAATCTTTAAGGTTTAGTACGTACCATCCGCTCTGAACAGTACCTTCTACTAAATGCTTTATTCTCACATTTTTAACTACTTAATTACAGAGTTTTTATCTTCCCATGGCTGCAGTTTATGCTTGTCATTTAAATACGAACTATGTGGTGTTTTTTCCTTTGAACTTAAGTCAGCAAGATTCAGTTCCTATCTTTGATTTGTAAGTGTGAATAATATCTGAAATAGGAGACTGTCTGTCCTGTTCTGTAAAGCTGATTACAGGATACGATGCTGCTGGTTGTGTTGCTCTTGGCCAGAGTCTCCCAAGAAACATGTTTATTAATCTTTCATTATTCATCAAGGTCAGCGGCTTCATATTTAACATTTTAAAGAGATAAGTGAAAACAAATAATGTTTAATTTATCCGTCTGTTTGCTTTGAGGGTATGTGTGGCTTTTATGTGACCTGACATCTGTGAATTGCTCACATATTAAACAGTAATAAATTAGACAGATGTGCAGCGGTAATTAGAAATTGGATTTATTTGCCGTTTGATTCATTTGCCTGTCATTTTGTCATTATCAGCTGACATACATAACCTTTTCAAGCTATTAAAATGTTTGCATCAATACTTCAATCAAAAACATTTGCTACAAAATATCAACTTATTAAACTTAAACCTCAGATAGTTAAGATTTTGTGCTGGCAAAAGCTTTTATAGATGTTTCTAATGGCCTCACTTAAAGAACCTGCCGTCACAGAGAAGGGCAAGACGCAATGAATGGTACACACGGGTATGAAGGTGCACACATTCAAACAACCTTTTCCTTCAGTTCATAGTGTTGCTATCAGTTGTACGCATGAGGAGTGACATAAGTAACTGAAAACTTTAAAAAGAGAGCTTGAACACCTCCACACACCTGACCAATTGCTGTGAGCAAAAAGATAAAGATAAACTGCAGAGTTATTATATTCTATGCAATTTGTGATATTTTTTGGCACTTGCTGTTAATTAATTTGTATGTATGCAACTGGATTTTTGTTGTTCTTCTACAAACAAAGACACTTTTTCCAAAGGTTTAAAGAGCAAAAACTGTTGTCTGGGGATTAAAACTTTTGAAGGCTCCCATGCCTGAAGAATGGTCTGATATTCAACTATCACCATTACAGAATGTGCGCTGTATAACCGATGGCTCTTGTACAAACATGACCCTGCTATTTATTAGGATATTTGATGCTGTGATACTGATAACCATTTCCAGTATCTCTCTCAACCTCTGACCACTCAATGCCACATCAACATTTTATCAACCAAGCTTTGTGAAAGAGTATTGACCCGACACATGTCTGACATATCACAGCTGTCCCACCAGTCTGATGACCACGAAGCAGAATGAAAGGAAAAATACACCCACCCAACACAATCCTCATTTCCATCGCATTGAATGATAGGAGCATGTGGGAATTGTGTAGGAGAAATTGTCAGTTTTATTGGTAAAGGTTAAACAACCACATAAAGATAAGACAAGTGTTTACAAGAGGACGATGTATCAAATGTGATTGTTTAGAAATAAAAGAGAAATTATCTTTTTAATTATCTTTTAGCGGTACAATTCACGGTTAAGCAGCCAATAAGGTTAAATATGAATCAATTTAATTGGTTCAGCACATTTTATCTTCTACAATGGTCCTTTGAATCATGATCTAAGAAATGTTTTACCATATTGTCTTAGTTTATTCTAACATTGACAAAGGATTTTTCTGTAAAGGGTTTTCATGCAGATGCAAATGCACTTGAGGTGGCACAAATTGACGCAAATACGCTTCTGCATAAGTTGAAAATCTTTCAAATGGAGAGTAAAAAATAGTGCTTATCCCAGGGCTTTATGAATCTGCTTCATAAACATACAGAGACGTGAGGAAAAGGTTTGAGAGGCTGGAGGGAAATAAGGTGAGTTCAGAGACTGAGCCAGACACAAACAATTCTCTGCTGGTTGCAACCGGTCTGGCCAAGAAATAGTGTTTTGTTGCTTAATGAGTTAAATGGGTTTTGTTACCTCTAGCTGTTTACTCTTGGTACCAGTCTTTATGTAAAGCTCAGCTAATCGGCTGCTGGCTCCAGCTACATATTTACCATGGAAACATGAATATGTGAAACGTGATAGGGTGACCTTCTAGTGGATGAAATGCAGTTAAGTGCCCTCCAGGGTGCTAATCCTAACCCTGATTTAGCTGTTTCACCCATTGATTATATAAAGATGGACAACCTGACAGCTCTCCAAAAGAGAAGCCAAAATATCTCCCCCTGGTGGCTGACTGCAGTATAGGTCACAAAGCCCACTGCCTCCAGATGGGACATGGGGCCACACAAAAAATCAATTTGGACTTTATTTTTGTACAGTGGAAGGACAGCCCAGGTGGACGGGGTTGTTGTCCATTGAGAACACTCTGCCTGCAGGCTTGGGTTTTTAAATTTGAAAGTTTAGAGAGAGTTTGGATGTGTTATTTCTGGTCTGGGTAGATTTGGTTAGATACATCCGTTATGCCGATCTCACTGAGCATAACAACGCCCGCAGTGCAGCAAATCAGATGTAAAACTGTTTGAACTGTGGCACCAAAGTTTGACATGTGATGGCCAGCAGTGAAAACAGAAACACTTTGCTCTTTTTTGAAGATTATTCACCCGGCCGGGCATCTGATTAAACATGCATTTGTTTGTTTGGTCATTTTTTAGTCATATCTAATCTTTGAAAACTCCTTGAAAATATAGATTCACTGTATCATGGACCACTGTAAATATGACTGTTTAACGATCTGTCCACTAAAAATCCATTAATGTCAACATTCTGTTGGAAGAGGAAAGTTCACCCTCGAGGCTGCTCCGAGGCTTGTGGGATTACAGAGCCTTGCCGCAGCTTCAAAAAAGCTTGCTTCATTCAAGTCAATAATGCAAAGAACACTATAATGCCACTTTTGCCTCTTAATATCCACTTTACACAATCACTTTGCGAGCTATGACTCACATCATAGAACAAGTCAAACAGCGACATTTGGAAAGTTGCTTTAAA